AGCGTCCTTGTTGGTTCTCCTTGATATCTCAGCTGCCTTTGATACCGTTGACTACAGTATCCTCCTGGGGAGGCTGAGTTGGGGATCGGTGGCCTTGCTATTGCTTGGCTCCGGTCCTTCTTGGAGTGTTCAGCTTGGGGAGTATATATCAGCCCTGTGGTCCCTCAATTGTGGGGTACCGTAGGGTTCAATCATCTTCCCAATGCTGTTTAACATATATATGAGGCCGCGAGGTGTGTGTGTGTCATCCAGGGATATGGAGCTTCGTGTCACCAATATGCTGATGACACCCAGCTCTACATTTCCTTTTTTCCATCTGCAGTGGATGCTGTTCTGTCCGTTGAGCGCTGCCTGGAGACTGTCCTTCAATGCATGCAGTCAAATGGACTGAGGTTGAACCCAGACAAGACGGATGTCTTCCTGATGGGTGATCCCGATGTCAGTGGTTTGGGGAACTCCCTCCTGATGGGTGCTCCCGATGTCAGTGGTTTGGGGAACTCCCTCTCTTTTGGGGGAGCGACTTCCACCACAAAGAATGTGGTTTGCAGTCTGGGGATCCATCTTGACGCGACACTTACCATGGAGACCCAGGTAGTGTCCATGGTCCAGTCCGTCCACTTACATCTTTGGTGGATTGCCCAGCTGCGTCCCTATCTAGATACGGAGGTGCTCGCCATGCTGATCCATGTGCCTGTAGTCTCAAGAATAGACTACTGTAATGCGCTCTACGTGGGGCTTCCTTTGAGACTGATGCAGAAGCTTCAAATGGTCCAGAATATGGCAGCCAGGCTATTAACTGGGGTGAAAAAATTCCATTGTATTTACCCCACCCTGGCCATCTTGCACTGATTACCTATTCACTTCTGCATCGATTTCAAGGTGTTGACAATTACATATAAAGCCCTAAACGGTTTAGGCCCTCGATACTTGGCAGCACGCTTCCACCTAGTTCTGCCCGTATCACCCGTTCTAGTCAGGCTGGGCGGCTGAGGGGCCTACTGCTGAGAGGTCCAAAGGGAAAAAACTAAAAATCCGGCCTTCTCGGCAGTGGCCCCTCGTCTCTGGAACAATTTACCTGTAGAGATCCACCTGGCCCCCTCGCTGAGGGCCTTTAAGACCAATTTGAAGACATAGCTATATAGGCACACCTTCCTTACAGCCATCACCTAACCTATTTTTCTTTTCATTTTCTCTTTTCCATCTTGGATTCTGTTGTTAAGATGGGTGGTATACAAGTCTAAATAAATCAATAAATGAAGATTTTTTTTAATTAATCCAACATATGAATTTCAGTTTGTAAAATCAACACAGGTCCGATTAAAAGAAATGAAAAAACAGATCTGATTGCAAAAAAAGCATACTCATGCTTTTAGATGAGGCAAATGGGTATAATTTGGTATAATTTTAGAAAGGCATTCTTCAACTCACCAATGGAGGTCATCCACAGGTGTTTAAAATCCCTTATTTTTCCACACTGAGGATAAACCCAATCTGTCCCCTGTCCAGCTCCCTGATTTTGCTGCTTTTGTGACTTTCTCTTTCTCCTCGGCCTGTTGGATAAATTGTATTACATTATACTGTATATTGGCTGAAATCAAGTTGGTGCAGCTCTGCCCGGGCAACGCTGATTATGTAATCAGTGCAACCCTTTATCTTTAATTAAAATGTGTCTCCTCTTCCCTCATTCAGGTTCTGAAGCTCCCTAGGAATCCCAGGAGTGGCAGTGGTGATTTTCGGACATTAAAGCCTTCCCCTACCATATCCTGAAAAACCCAAAGGCTTCCCCAGGTCAGAAGGGAGCCTTATGGAGTCTTTGGACCTGGGGAATGGGGGGGTGGTGGTTATAGGAAGCTTTTAATGAAAGATGAAAGAATGGGCTGACAATATCATCAGCCTTGCACATGTGGAACTGTTGCCAGAATTCCGGCCATAGTATCATATCGTATCATTCTACCACAGTATCGTATCGTATTATGTATACTATTCAGTCTCAGTGTTTCTCATCTGTGAAATAGTTAAGTTTGATGAAGTTTCTGTAGAACTCTGCTGAATTTTAGAGCTGTATGAGAAAAACTCTTCCATAGTAACTCAGATACAGATTTATATATGTGGCCCTGTTCTATTTATGTATTATGTAGGTAACAGAGGTAGGTAATTGGCTTCACTCCCTTAACCTGTATTTCCTACCTAGTCCCCCCTCCCTCTTCCTTCCCCAACTACTATTTCACATTTGACTGAGGAATGGCCCTTAGGCTGCAGTAAAAACAAAAAAGATCCCACAAGCTTTAAGTTTCCCTACATCTCTGCTCAACAGCCCTATTTTAAAAAGAGTCAAGCTAATAGTCAAGACTAAAGATTACTCTTTTGTAAATAGCAAAGCCTTTCTCAAAATCACCACTGGGGGGGTTGGGGAGTCTGGAATAATTTCACACTAGCTATTTTCTTTTGACATTCCTCCTTTCTGTCTCCAATATGTCTCCAGGTGAATGCCTGCTAGACTGTTCCCTTAACCAGAACCAAACTTTAAGTGGTCCCAGCTAGATTTCTAAAATAATATTTCACAGATATGAAATGGGGGGGAAATATATTAATATCCTCCACACTGCTACTTTTGTTTGCCTGAAGACAATTCCCCACTAGGCTGGCTCGCCAGGACAAAAATATATTGATTTATGTAAGGACGACCAGTGGTCCAAATGAAAAACAAAACTGGAAGCTGAGAACTCTTCAGAAAAAGCAACGAGATCCACTGTGGCTCCATAAGTGAAGAATATGTAATTCTGATTTTCTTGTGAGGTTTATTGTGGTGCCTTGAGGGCACATTTTTACTCTATGGAAAGGATGCCGAATCTAACATTCATTCTAGAACTAGAAGCAAAGTCGTGTATTTCATGAAATAAAAATAGATACCAGGAAAACCTTCAAAAGTCAACACACAAAAGAAACTGAACCCCTCTGATAATGTATTCATGATCGTAAAATACAAAAGGCTATCTTTAAACAGTAGAAATCTCAACCAATTAAAATAATGCAAGTGGACAATAAGGATACTGCAACATTCCAACCTTTAGAAATGTTTGCTTTTAAAGACATCAAAAGCAGGAAACTGACCAGGAAGATAGCTAATCCATTAGATATCAACATAATAAAAGCAGTAGTAAAGGAGAGTAGGAAAACTGCAAAGAAGCTGAAGGAATGAAGAAACAATTTGTGCCTTAATTTCTTTAGGAAGGTATAAAACTGGTGCTAAGCTTTTATTTTCACAGAAGGAACCTGAAGAAGTCTAATGTGTGAAAAGAGACAATGTTCCAAGACTTAAATACAGGTTAAAATGCAGGTTTAAAATTAGCAAGTTTCTAAGTCCAGATTGTACTGATACATGAAATTGTAGGCCCAACAAAAATATGTAGCTTGTATCTTAATCTTGGCCTCCTCTCCAGAGAGTTGGAAATTTGCTAACATAATATTCCTTTTTCCAAAAGTCATATGCAATTAAATTAAGTTGCCTTAATGTCTGAGATGGGTAAATTTGCAGAAGGTATTAGTAGATATAGAACTGTCAATCATGTAGAAGAAAAATATTGTACAGGAAGAATAAGCATAGCTTCATAACTAAATTTATGAAGTTCTCTGAGGGGATCAACAACAATAGAAAAAGTCATTATGTGTACTTGGACTTCCAAAAATCATGTGACAAAGCTCCTCACTAAAAATGTCCATAATCCATATCTTTTAGCAGAACAGCAACTCTTTGAAGAGAAAGAGAAGAAGCCAAATTTGCAGGCAACAGAGTACTTAGTATAGCGAATATCTGAATAGCCTATGAAAAACGTAGGTCACAAGAAACTCATGAGAAAGAAGAGCCAGGCATCAGGAGGCTGCAACCAGACACTGCAGGTACAGTCGTATATCTGAAGAAGTGGATTTTGTATGACTAAAGCTCATAACGAAATACATCTGTCAGTCTTCAAAGCACCCACCATAAATTTATCTCTCACTCCCTCTCCTTTCCCCCCTTTAAATCTGTCAGTGCTGGATATGGCCGTTGACAGACTGATCTGAGTATCTTGTGGTCTTTCTAGATCAGGGAAACCAGTTACTTGCTTTGACAAAAGGGGGTCATTCTGGTGCAAAAGATGCCATTCTGGTGCCTGGTAACCATTCAGGGCACAAGGAAGTCCACAGCCTGCCATTCATGAACAAGGTAGCAGCACACAAATCCATAGATGGTGGAATAGTAATTCCTTGACACCTGGCAAATACTCTGGAGCTTTTAATCCAAGAGCAGAGCATATGAAGCTGGAACTAAATCAAATGAGAAGCTATGGTAGGCTGACGTGTACTCAGGCCTCAGTGCCTTCTTCAAACAGAGAAAGGAATATAACTATGGAACATGCAACCTAATAGATGACAACTCAGTGTGAAGATTTTGGGTGGGTCAAGCATTGCACAAATATTAGGACCCTAATCTTTTACATTTTCCTGACAAAAAAAACCTTTCTGTTTTATTTATATTCTAACATTTCTTAGTTCAAAGCCACTCACATAATGCTGGAAATTATACACAGACACTCCATGTTCAGATTCACATAGAGTTGGCTGCCTATAGTCCCAGGCCAGCTTTGACACTGAAGGACTATCATGGCATTGTTCTAACTCCATAAAAGATTTAATTGGCCACTTCTGCCATTTCAAGCAGATTTCAAGAGTTCTGTATCTCAAGTAGACTAAGGGAGAATCATTGCCCATTATACTTATACTCTATGGGGTTTGAAAAAAGAAAAACAAATCTGAATTTCTAAAAGGCTGGCTTAAAACATCTAGAAAAGCAGTTCCCTCTAAGCCTATCTTTGTTCAAGTATTAATGCATCACATAAGCATGTATTAATAGTTCAGTGCTGGGCTGAAGTATGATGCTTTACCAAGCCATTCTTTGAAGAGAAAATATATGATATAGAATTTTAAATATTGGGTTGACTGTCTAGAGAAAACTTTGTTACCTTTGTGCAGACTGTTTTCATGCAATGCAATCTATCGAGTGACTCCTGCGGATTTCCTAGATACTGCTGAAGTTCAGCGTGCAAAATCCGCATAGAAAATGGAACCATGGAACCTGGAACAATAATGGACAATTATGGATTACTGTTCTCACATTTATCAATTTACCTTACCCTGTTTCCTCCAAAATAAGCCCTGACCTGAAAATAACCCCTAATATGATTTTTCAGGATGCTCATAATATAAGCCCTACCCGCAAAATAAGCCCCAGTTACGTGAAACTCCACCCTCCACCACTGTGCAGCAACCAGAAGATAACATGACTTTATTTGAATAAATGTAGATTGCTGTACATGGGAAAAAAAGAAACATCCCTTGAAAATAAGCCCTAATGCATTTTTGGAGCAAAAATTAATATAATACCCTGTCTTATTTTTGGGGAAACTTCATGGAATGCTCTACCTCAAAGCAAAGCAAAGCAAAGCGTGCTGCTTATATACCACCCCACAGCACTCCAAGCACTCTCTGGGCGGTTTGCAAGTTAATTTTGCAGGCTACACATTGCCCCTCCACCAGCAAGCTGGGTATTCATTCTCTATATGTATGTATGTACATGTATGCATATACATATACATACACACACACACACACACACACACACACAAATACACAGAGAGAGAGACAGAGAGAGAGAGAGAGAGAGACAGAGAGAGAGAGGTAGAGCATTCCATAAAAAGGTGGCCAGCACAGAGAAGACCTGGCACCTAGTCACAGACTTCCCAGCCTCCCTCACTGTCTAGTCGCTAGTCACAGTATTAGTTGCTGTTTCATGGTGATGTGATTTTTGTGCCTTCATTTATTAAAATTATATGTACACATGTACAGGAACCATTTAAAACATTTTGGGTAGGACAGGAGAACTTGTCAATTAAACTGATTTTTCAAGGAAGCCAGAGCTAACATGTTTCTCACTGACCCACATAAATCTGCAATGTCTTCTTATCACTTCCAAATCCAGAGCTTGAACCTTTCTTGTGCGTTATCGCCCACTTACTCTGATCCCTGCCACTTGTGATCTTTGTTCCTAACCTACACTTTTTTTTGACATATATTCCTAGTGCTCTGCTCCACCCTTTCGCAGACCATTGAATAAGTGAATAAAAAGCTCCACTTCACAGAAAGATGGATATTCACAATGCTACGGAGAAAATATGGCTTCACTAACCCTGAGATTGGTTATTAACCAAAGTTAATGATCCCACATACTGCTGCATGGAAAGCCTATTCATTAGTACAGAGGTTAGTGTGCAATGGAAATCCATAACCCCATCACAAAGATGTAGCATCAGAGCTAACCCAACAGCCTCATTTTAAAGTAGTAAATAAAGCCGGCAGTCCAGCTGCACTGAAGTCAATTTCTTATGAAATGGAATTACGTTTTGGCTCCTTTCTGGTTCTGGAATGGAGAAGAATTTCGTCTCCTCTATTACAATCATATTAGAAATTCTGGTTGCCTCTGAAATGGTAGCAAAATGAATCTAGAGTAGGCCAAGCATCCAAGTTCTCTTGGGTTCAGAGGTAGATGTGTGAAAGGGTTTTCAGAAAGGTAGCTCACAGGTCGGGTCAGGAGAAATATGGTCTCTCCCACCTTACCTTGAAAGAATATATGTCTCTCACATACTCTTCAAGAACATCCTAACTAGGCAAAATGAGCATCATAACAAAACATGTTACTGTCAATACCCTTCATTTTCTCTATTCCTTGGTTATGTTTATGTCCTGCCTTTACTCCAATGACCTCAAGGTGCCATCTAAGGCTCTTCTCCCATTTTCACTTAAATTTCGAAGATACTGATAGCCTCCTGACTTACTTTGGCTAAAGAGCTTTATTTTGTTAGTTGTTCTATGAGAGGAAGACATCTTGGGATAAACTGAATTTACTCATTAAAATTAATATGAGAAATCTTCAAAACTGTACACTTAAAATATGTATGTATGTTATATATGTATGTAATATATTTTTATCCTGACTTTCTCATTAAAAAGGACCAAAGGTGGCTTACATCATTAAAAAGGCAATACTGTATTTAAAAGCTAAAACAGAAGATATACAAATATTTAAACAGAATTAAATAAGTTTTCCATTAAAAACTGTAAATAAAGTCAATACTAGAACACATTTAAAACAACACAGCACAACAATCCATTTAAAAAAACCTTTCAGACCACCAGTGCTTAAGGAAAAGTCAGACTGAAGAGGAAGGTATTTGCGTGCTTGCAGAAAGACAACAAAGATGGCGCCAACCTTGCTTCCAGTGGTAGGGAGTTCCAGAGTCTGGGAACAGCAACAGAGAAGGCCCTCTCCCATGTCCCCACCAAGCACACCTGTAAGGATGGTGAGACCGAGAGAAAGGCCTCCCGTGATGAGCCTGAGCAGGGTCATAGAGCGAGATGTGGTCTTTTAGATAGTTTGGACCCAAGCTGTGTCATTGTTATAAGCTATCAAGTCATCTCAGCTTATAAGATTCATCTCAGTGGTGATTTTGAGAAAGGCTTTGCTATTTACAAAAGAGTAATCTTTACTAAACAAAAAAAAAATAGTGACTTCCAAAATGTTTTGCTATTTAACTACTAAACAAACAAAAAAAAAAATTAGTGACTTCCAAAATGTTTTGCTATTTAACAGCCCTTGCAAAGTCTTGCAAACTAAAGGCTGACACTTACTTTACTGAGTCATTCCATCCCATGGATAACAAGATTTCCTCTTTTTTGCCTTCACCTTTTCGTAGCATTACTAGTGTTTCAGAGATAGAATGCTCAGGGCTAGAAAAGGCAGAAAGACCACAAATGTACATAGACGTCTTCTGAAGACTCATCAGATCTTCTGATAAAAAGCAAAATACAATCAAATGGCCAAATCACCAAAATGCTGAAGATTTAAATGCCTTAAGAGAGAGAGACTGCTCGATCAGAATTTTGGAAGGTACAGTAAGACTTTGATTTGCACTATTGCCACAAGTGTACACTTTTTTCAACTTCCTCTGGTGAGAATTAAGGAAGCAACATGGGAAAGAGGGACATGGTGGCACTGTGGGTTAAACCGCAGAAGCCTTTGTGCTGCAAGGTCAGAAAACCAGCCATTGTAAGATCAAATCCACGCAACGGAGTGAGCTCCCGTCGCTTGTCCCAGCTCCTGCCAGTTCGAAAAGCATGTAAATGCGAGTAGATAAATAGGTACCACCACGGTGGGAAGGTAACAGCATTCAGTGTCTAGTCGCACTGGCCATGTGACCACAGAAACTGTCTACGCACAAATGCTGGATCTATGGCTTAGAAAAGGGGATGAGCACTGCCCCCTAGAGTCGGACATGACTGGACTAAATGTCAAGGGGAACCTTTTAAAAACAAGCATGGGAAAACCCTTTTCTACTAGGAAAAATATCTACAAAAATATGGCTTTTAATGAACCCTGAGTGTCAAAAAGTTGATATTTCTAATTAAAATATTGTCAAAACTATTATCTGAAATTTAAACAAAAGGATTAAAGTAATTCAGTCTAAACCTGAGCCCTTTTTTTAGGCCATTCAAAATATCCATATAACAAAAGGAACCAAATCTCTTTCCACCCCACCAAACACATGGTGTAAATCTAGGTCCTAATCCTTTATAGTTTCTGAATCTAAATGTAGTCTTCGTTAGCAATAAAGTTGCGAGATACAGGTTTTGCCTTATCAAGACTGTGACTACATGATTAGACAGATTAGGCATCCTGCAGTCTCAAGAGACTATGATAATGTGCTCTGAACAGAAGACTTGGAACAGCATCTAGTGTGGCTGAGGAGCCCAATTCAAGAGTGACAATTCTTCCCCCATTGAGGACAAATACAATCGATCCCCTGTCAAGCTCCCTGATTTTGCTGGTTTTGTGACTGCCTCTTTGTCTCGGCCTGCTGAACAAGTGTCTCTTCAAATTGGGAGAGGCCATGCTGTACCACCTGCCTCCAGGCTGAACGCTCAGACGTCAAGGTTTCCCATCTGTTGAGGTCCATTCCTAAAGCCTTCACATCCCGCTTGCAAATATCCTTGTATCGCAGCTGGGATCTCCCTCTGGGGCGATTTCCCTCCACTAATTCTCCATATAGGAAATCGTTTGGAATCCGACCGCCATTATCACAACATGCCCAAGCCAATGTAGACATCAGTGTTTCAGTAATGTATACATGCGAAAAATTCCAGCTCATTCTAGGACTACTCTATTTGGAACTTTGTCCTGCCAAATGATACGAAAAATGTGTTGGAGACAGTGCATATGGAAGGTGTTCAGCTTCCTCTCCTGTCGTGCACAAAGGGTCCAGGACTCACTGAAGTACAGGAGTGTGCTCAGGACACAGGAGCTATAGACTTGGATCTTGGTACTGTATATGCCGTCAGCTTCTTGTTAAGCCATACTCTCTTTGTGAGTCTAGAGAACATGGTGGCTACTTTGCCAATGCATTTATCCAGCTCGACATCTAGGGAGAGAGACCACCTTTAAAACCACCTCTGTTGTGCACAGCCTAGTTGACATTACCAATGTAGATCTTTTGGAGTAATGCAGAAATGTGTGGAAAAGAGAAAGAGATTTAAAACATAAAACCCAATGAATTCTCATAAGACAGAGAACATTTCCACTATAAATGCAATTTCTTCCCTGCAGAGTGTTGCACCTGCTTAGAAATGTAGTACATTAAAGAGCAAATATGAATGTTGCTGTTCGTAAGGTAGATGTGGGGACTGAGGACGACACGTTATTCAAGTGTGCTCTATCAACTTGAGTACTGGAAGAAAAATAGTTTCTGTTTTCCCTTCTACATACTACAATAACTACAGTTGTTTCAAAATCCTATAACCATGTGACTTGTATCTATTACAAAAAAAAGGAAAACTGTAAAGTGGTATAAGATTTTTCATTGCCCAAGAGATACTTTCAAGACTCTGTAATAGATGGAACAAGCATAAGGTGAAGTACAGCTTTTTAAATCCAGGCATTCTAATAACTTTAAATGTGTGTGTGCATATATATAACCACTCAGGTGCTCAGTTATCTATTTTCATTTATTTATTACATTTATATCATTTCTTTCCTCCAACAAGATGAAGAGAATTGCCAATCCTCTCCACTTAAGTTTCACAGTAATTCCTTGAGTTAAAGAAGGCTGAAATATTGACTGGAGCAATGTTATCCAGTGAGTTTTCATGGCTCAGTAGGGACTAGAAACTGGACCTTCCAAATTCCAGTCCAACACCATAACAACATGCCAGGAGTTGCTAGTTTTCTTTTTTTGTCAAATAAATAACTAAACCAATAGGAATAATTGTATATGTTCTGCTGCCATTTTTTGTATTAGCTATTTTTATATATAATTAGTAGAGATTCAGTTTTTTTGTTTGTTTGATGATTTGATTTGATTATTATAGCAGTTTTATTTCATGGCCATGTCCTGATATTGTGAAAGTCGCCCAGAGCAATTGCCTCGCCACTAGATGGGTGGGTTAAAAATTCAAATAAGCAAGTAAATAAATAAATAAAGTCAATGATGATGACACATTCAAAAGAACAAAGGGCTCCTACAGAACCAAAGAACTGTTGAGATGGAAAAGAAGTGAAGGGCAACAGAATCCTTAATATCCTTACCTCATTTACTATTAAAGTTAACCTTTGCTCACTGCTGAAATTAGCTTTGCAGAACAGATGCCAAACAGCAGCTGTCTACCAGAACTGAACTAGCCAGTTTCCAAAACAATGAACAAAAATTAGATCTAAAACCTCACAGGAACAGGATCGACTAATGAAAACTCAAGTTGCCATTTGAGATAGGTTAGAAAAACCTCAGAGGAACAGGATCGACTAATGAAAACTCAAGCAAGTAGGATCACAGCATTCGTACCCATAATGAAGGAGAAATAATGCATGTGTCCAGCAGGGCAATCTCTTGGTGGCATGAAGGATGGCATCTCAGGCTTAGGTACTCCCTTCTCCCCACCACAGACACAGCATCCCATGTTAGTGGCATGATAAGACTGCCACAGAGCAAGACATCTATTGCACACTGTGTTTTTGCATGTGGTGAACTGTGCGCATCAACCGTTGTCCTGTTCCTGTGATGAGGAATGGGACTGGCATGAAGTTCAATACAGACAATGTTTGCATCTATTGAAGCTTTAATCCAGAGACAGCCAGGACTCTCAAGAAGCGAGAATTATGGATTACACACAGCGTGGCATATAGGCAGAATAAAGAATGCCAGCTGAACCCTAATTAACAGACGAAATGTCAGAAAAAGACAATTTCAACGTTCAGTTTGGAGAGCGCACTAAAAATTGATAGTTAACTCATGCAATTAGGACTGATTAAAGAGATAGACTGTAGGAAGAAAGGACACAGGCAAATCATGGAGAAGTTATTTTGGAGTAAAGCACCAATAAATCTAGACCACAATCCTTCTGCCAGTTTATAGATGCCTAAGTGGAATTGCATGAGCTGTGGCAGCAAGTTGCTGCTAATTAATGACATGCTCTTTGTGCTCCTGGTTCCATGACCATCAGATAACCAGGAACACCAGATAACCAATACTTTATTAATTGGAGGCAATTCACTGCTGTGCCTTCCACAATTCCACCTATGCACGTGTAAATCATCAGTAAGATTCTGGCCGTGGCTGCATAGGTGGGAAGGATAAAATAATGCCAGAAATGTTAGCAGCATCCTTGGTAATTTCTAATAGCTCTGGACTGAAATCCGCACACTGCTCCAAAATGAAATGCACTGTACTTAATTCGATGAATATTTTGAATTCATCCAAATTACACACATGAATTAAATGAAATGTATTCTGCATCACTTTCATTGCCATTATTTATTGTATCGTGACACATTTGATTGCAAAGTGCATTTTAATTGCCTAATTCGTTTAACTATTATGAATCAAAATGAGATAAATAAATCACAGACGTTACAGTTGTGCTTGTTACATCGAAAAAAAATGGAAAAGAAAAATTAGCAACCATCAGCATATTATTGTGGATGACTGTTACTGCACAGTAGCTAAAATTTATGTATGACTTATATTTATTTTATCATTACAATTAGCTTCTTATCAACAGAGATTCAAAGCTCTTTTTCAGTAGCATTTACTTTAAAGCAGGCTTTCAGGTATGCCTTTTCGATCCCTTAGGCTGCCATAAAGTTGATGGGGCCCTCAAATATAAATAAAATGTGGCAGCCTCTCCCAAGAGCAAAACTAATATGTCAGCTGTCTTCAACTGCTGAGAAGATTATTGATATGATATCTGAACTTCTGACCTGATTACATTTAATATTACCATTTCTTTACTACTAAGAAATTTTTTAAAAAAACATTGATATTGGGCTTTGAAGCAGGAAAGAAGGCATTTTGTAGCACCAGGTCCTTTCAGGGAACCACTGAGAAAAGGCTAAGGGGTGGAAAGCTGCTTCTCATAAGTTTTTCTGTCTTCCCTCTGAAGGACTTTCCCCATTTCTTCTCTTCCCGCATTGCTCAAAGAGACAAACAAGCAGAGCATATATCCTAATTTTTCCTTTCCAAGCCTTCCTAATTAATACTATTTTTAGTTGTGTTTCCCCTTTCAATTAATTACTAGCATTGTACCAATGGAATTATTTAAATGTGTACTCACATTTAAAATCACACTGGAGTCACTGGTCCTAAATCTCAGGCATGAAGGGAGCCAACCAAGGGATGACTTGGTGAAAAACATGGAATTTTTCACAATTTGATGCTGCTCATTTAGTCTCAAAGTCACCCCCCATTTCTCTCATAACTATAAAACTACACATGAGTGATTAGTACTGAAAAGCTTTCCAAACACAATGGATACTGTGTGGTGTTTATTGGTGTGAATCTAAAGAGAAGCCGCTGCATTAATAAGATGAAGAAGAAAAAAACACAGCCACAGTGTACCTCTAAAAACAAAAGGGCCTTAAACATAGATTTTTTTCTGTAAATGCCATTGTTCTGTTCTGTACAGTCAGTGCTGGTCAGCTGGGACCTGGAATCAAATACCCTGGCCGAGACATTTTCAAGAAGTTTGCATGTTACTATAGTACTGAGGTGTCCACTAGAGAGCTGTCCCACTCACTTCAAGAATTAAAACCTACCCTCCTTCCTAAGACTATACCTACAGTCAAGGAGCAGGACAATGAACCTTTCCCAAATTAAGTTTCTACAACCCTCATGAAAACTGTTCAGAAACATTTAAGTACATTCTTAATTTCACTGCAATCAACAAGACAGATGTACTCTTAATTTTGGCTGCAATATGTCCAATATCAGTAACATTAACTGTAATGAGAACATGGCACAAACAGGTTTACCTTTACGTCCTGGATATACGTGAGGATAATATTCATAATATAGATCAGGCTGGTCTAGGTTTCCAAAGGGTTCAAATTCCATCTCAGCATTTTGGAACAGACCCAACTTCACAAGGAGAGCTAATCTTACAAACCAGAGCTTGAAAATACAAAAAACAAAAACAACTTCTAAGTTATTAGATCATTTGCCTTCTTTTACAGTAAAAAAGCAAAAACAAAATTCATGAAAGCTAAAAAGGTCTATTCAGACAACAATATACAGAGGTATCTGGATATAAAGCTGATGACTATGTAACAATTTTGATAACTAAAACTAAACAGAGCCAAGCTGCCAGTATTTCTGAAAGTTGTTGCATCTCCAATTTCTTTTGTGTTTGTTTTCTGTTCCTTTCCTAGAAAAGCACCAACAGCGATTCTCCTCACACAGTTGTACAGCAATATAATGAGTTTCAAAAACAACAACAACAACAACAACAACAAAAAACACCAGAAATTTCCCTCAGTACTTTTCAGCGTTTGGAAGCTCCTCATAATCTCATTACAAATAACAGGTCACTCAAACAGTCTCTTTCCTTAAAAATCAAGATATAGCTGTGTCAATTGTTAATTTAAAAAGGGACAACTTAGTCTGTTGGTTGGGCAGAAAAGCGATAAACAAGAGTTTCAAATGAACTAATAACCACCACTTCTGTTTTAGTCTTATATTCTTGTAATTCTTTTAACCGGCTGGGGAATTCTGAGGGTTGCAGCCTCAAAGTTTCTCTGAGTTTATTTGTTTTAATTTTTATACCATCCATCTGACTGATGATCACTCTGGGTGGTCCACAAGGATGACAGCAATGTACAAAACACAACATAATAAAAATGCAATTAAAATTAAAATTAAATTAAATTGGCAAACATTTCCATTTACTAGGCACATGCTCAACAAAACATCTTTATATCTAACTTCTAAAACTGACAGACTTTGAACTCCTTTGAAAGGGATGTCCCTAGAAATTTCCATTACCATGCTTCTGAAGAGCTTTGTAACAACAATCTCTAAACTAATAATCATGTAAATGCAACATAAGATATGTTCTTACTAATGCATAATATTTTCTGTGGGCTAGAACAAGAGGAGGCAAGGGTGTTTTCTCCTCTCATCAAAGTGAAGTACATAATACTCTGTCTGAAGAGTCTCAGCTTTGCCTTAGGTTGCTACCTGTTCCTGCAATCATGTCTATGGGATCAAACATAGGAAGTACAAAATATGCACGTGATGGCATGATAAAACAAGTGGAAGACAGACTCAGGCTAAGATGGGAACAAACAAATACAAACAGAATATTAAGCTGGGGAGATGGAACATGTTGTTTAGGACTAGACTGGTATCTACACTGTTGACACAAGTTGTGTGTTAAGTAAAATCCAACTGTTACTTATAGGGATCATGGTCGTGATACACTCCAACAGGATTCTTGAAACAAAACAAATTTCCCATCTCTGCTCTGCAAGGCAGGTCTAGGAGCTGAAGGCAAACATAAATATCACTGATGGGTGCGTGTACCCGTCTGCAGAAGTGCAAGGGGACTTTTGCCACACTGCAATACAAACGTACCTGCAGAGAGTCTGTTGTGTGACTTGTGGGTAGACCACTCTTGCCATATCCCTGACCATGAGCAGTCAGAAGCCGTCCACATAGGTCAACTGCTGCTCTCCAGTTTTTGCTGCTCTAGAAGTAGGGGGGAAAGAACAGGCTAAATCACAAACACATTCAGCTGCTCAGAACTTGGAGCTGTTTCTTTTGCTTGAAGCAGCTAGAGGTAACCATTAGTAATAATGACAAGGTCAGTAAAGCTGGCCAGTGGGAGGTGGGCTGTCATTTGTCAAAGCTGCTTGTATAATTAGGCAAACAGTGAAGCCAGGCATAACTCACCATTTACAATTAGAAGGCGACTGGTGGAAAAGGATTCCCAATTTATTATGATGGACCAGTGACTACTCAATTCAGAAACAGTAATCAATTTTCGAAAACACACCTAAAATACGCAACATTTTTTGCCATTATGGAGAAATCATATCTATCCTCTGCAAAAAAACATCTCTATTTTATTCTATCAAATTATGTTCCTAACAGTTTTGAATCAATGAATTCACAAAGGTCATTCAATACAGTTACTTGAAAAATTCAAATGGGGTCAAACCGAACATTTTAGTGACTATACATACTTGAGATTTTAAATATCTATTCATTCACCCAAAGCTAGCAGCAAATGAAATAGAGGGATTATTCTACTCCACATTCAGAAAGAGGGGAGGGTCAAACATTAATGTGGATGCCCTGCATTTTCTGAGCCGCAATCTCATCGAAAACATTCACCAGCCATCTGAATGATCTACGGTCTGGCGGGGGGTGGGGAGTATGAAATCGTCTTTAAAAAGAAAAGAAAAAGGCCAGACTAGAATGATGTGGTTCCACTGGATCCAACCAGGATCATTCATGCATCGTGCATGGCCACAATGAGAGGGAGAAGAGAAGGACGCTCCCTTGTTAGCTTTGGATACCCAAGCACACTTCGGGATCTGATCCGAAACTCTGAAAACTGCAGCAATGCTCAAAAGATTGAATGCATGAAATGTGCTGCATTTTTGCAACTCCACAGATGAGTTCAACATATTTCCTCAGAAACAAGTATTACGTGCACCCTAACCCAAAGCATGGTCAACCCAAAGCACCCTAACCCAAAGCTGGTCATCACAAACACTCTTTTCTGTGCACCGTAACCCAAAGCATATAAATGTGTTACCTGCTGTTTAAAAAAAAAAAGGGGGGGGAGAGAAAAGAGTAAAGGGCCGACTGTGCTCTCCTAATTCAACCATAAAGAGTGGTCTCAAAGATATTAATGGGGTTAAACTTATTTATTTAAAAATGTTTTTTACCATGACCTTCTCCTAAAAAAGGTCCCAACACAGATTACATTATTCAAAACACAATATTAAAAACAGTAAATTATTCATATATTAAAGAAGAACTAATAATTTTAATTTTAAAAAGTTAGGTAAAAGCAGTCTTAAAAACAGATTTGGAAGCAACAAAATATAAGCCAACCTGTTTATTGTCTCCTAGGCAGCTAATCATGAAAGAAAAGCCTGCCTGAAGAAAAAGGATGCCCAGCAAAGGTGGGGCCAGCCGGGCCTCCTGTGGGAGGGAGTTCTGGAGTCTGCGAGCAGCAACAGAGAAGGCCCTCTCCTGTGTCCCCACCAAGTACACCTGTGAGGGTGGCTGGACTGAGAGAAAGGCCTCCCCTGATGATCTTAACATCCAAGCGGTCTCATAAAGGGAGGTGCAGTCCTTGAGATAGTGTGCTTATAGGTCAAAACCAGCACTTTTAATTGTGCCCAGAAATGAACTGACAGCCAGAGGAGCTGCTGTAACAAGGGAGTTATGTGAGCCCTGTAATATCCCCAGTTAACAATCTGGTTGCAGCGTTTTGAACCCGTTGAAGTTTCTGAGCACTTCCCAAAGAGTGCATTATAGTAATCAAGCTGAGATGTAACTAAGGCATCTGTCACTGTGGCCAGGAATGGGCACAGCTGGCACACTAATTTTAATTGTGCAAGGGTAGTCCTACTCCCGGCAACCATCAAAACCTGGGCATCCAGGTTTAAAGACAAATCCAGGAACCCAAGCTACGCACCTGCGTTTTTAGAGGGAGTACAATCCCATCCAGCAGAGGCTGAATCCCTACTCCTTGATCTGCCTTTTGACTGACAAGGAGCACCTCTGTCTTGTCTGGATTAAGTTCCAGTTTATTCATCCTCATCCACTCTATTATAGATATCAAATATTGATCTAGAACTAAGGTATCTTTGTGTAACTCTGAAAGTTACCACTAACAAAGAAATCATTATGTCAACTACCCTGCCAAACCATGTTCATCTTTGATGCAGGAAAAGCCCACTAAGTAAATATTTTTGTATCAACTGCTATTCCCTCAGTCACCTCCAGTCTAGTATAATATTTCAGTGCTATGCTTTAGAAACTTCCCTTGACAGCACAATCAATTTAGATGGGAATTGTACAGATATATAGTGCTTACAAATCCTAATGGGAAGTGTTTTTGAGACCAAATGAAAAGCCTCAGATTATGAAAATTTCATCTCAAATGCCGTTGCATATCACTGTGTGAAAAGTGGGAGCTGATCAAAGAGGAGATACAGGGACCAACTACACAGTGGGACTGGATCTGCTGTGACGTCGCACTTAGAGAGTTGGTTTCCCCTGATTAATTAGCTTCAATCAGCCACCTCAGCAGAGAGAGGGAAGAAATTAGCCTTGTTTACAGCTTGTTAACTGTTTGAATTCTTCTGCTACCCATACCTTGTGCCTCAGTCTACTTGTTTCCCTCTTCTCTTCCCTTCCCATTCCACTTATTTTTTTCCTTCCTTTTCTTTTAAAGGCTTGTTGTCCTACAGCTACCACAGCTAGCTGACTAAACGGGTGGGAATGAAGAATCAGCAGAGAGAAAGAAAGACATTTTCAGTTCAGTCTTGTTTTCAGTTTGTTAAGATACCTCTGTTCTGGCCATCTAGATCTGCAGGAGGAATGGTTCGAGAAGAACTACTTTAAAACATCTTCCTTTCTTTCTGACATACACATCAATTTAAGTGATCACATTGTCTGAACCAATGTGAATGCATTCAATTCAAGTCCCAGTGGTGGAAGAAAATCCTGGGGATTGGTGGTGATGGTAGAACTCCAGGAAAATTTGTATTAATTTTTACAGCATGCAGTCAACAGAAAATAATACAAATCAGACTGTCCGAATCACAGAGTAATTCCCCCATGATCTGTCAAAGTCACAATAATTTCTTGTACCATCCCTCATCATGAAGAACATTTAACTTTGAGGTCTAGAATCTACATGAAATGAACTGCACAGTGAATATCTCTGCATTTCCTCTTTCTCCTACCTTTAACTTATTCTATTTTTTTCTGTAGTTAAAAGTTTGAGCTTATAGCATCATTTGTTGTTGTTTAGTCGTGTCCGACTCTTTGTGACCCCATGGACCAAAGCACGCCAGGCCCTCCTGTCTCCCACTGCCTCCCAGAGTTTGGTCAAATTCATGTTGGTCGCTTCGGTGACCCTGTCCAACCATCTCATCCTCTGTCGTCCCCTTCTCCTCTTGCCTTCACTCTTTCCCAACATCAGGGTCTCTTCCAGGGAGTCTTCTCTTCTCATGAGATGGCCAAAGTATTGGCGCCTCAGCTTCAGGATCTGTCCTTCCAGTGAGCACTCAGGGTTGATTTCCTTTAGAATTGATATGTTTGTTCTCCTTGCAGTCCAGGGGACTCTCAAGAGCCTCCTCCAGCACCACAATTCAAAAGCATCAATTCTTCAGCAGTCAGTTTTCTTTATGGTCCAGCTGTCACTTCAATACATTGTTACATGAAAAATCATAGCTTTGACTATTCGGACTTTTGTCGGCAAGGTGATGTCTCTGCTTTTTAAGATGCTGTCAAGGTTTGTTATTGCTTTCCTCCCAAGAAGCAGGCGTCTTTTAATTTTGTGGCTACTGTCCCCATCTGCAGTGATCATGGAGTCCAAGAAAGTCAAATCTGTCACTGCCTCCATATCTTCTTCTACTTGCCAGGAGGTGATGGGACCAGTGGCCATGATCTTACGTTTTTTTTTATGTTGAGCTTCAGACCATTTTTTGCACTCTCCTCTTTCACCCTGATTAAGAGGTTCTTTAATTCATCCTCACTTTCTGCCATCAGAGTGGTATCATCTGCATATCGGAGGTTGTTGGTATTTCTTCCGGCAATCTTAATTCCGGTTTGGGATTCCTCCAGTCCAGCCTTTCGCATGATGTATTCTGCATATATGTTAAATAAGCTGGGGGACAATATACAGCCTTGTCGTACTCCTTTCCCAATTTTGAACCAATCAGTTGTTCCATATCCATTACTGTCAACTCAAGAAATCCCTGTTGATTCAATACAGGGGTTTGGTGACATACTATCAGAATTTCAGCTACTCATCACACACTCCCAAAATATTTCCATTGGCAGTTGGGTGAGAGGTAGAACAACTTGCACAAAAATATAAAAAACTACTGGAATGTAAGTTATGGTCTGGTGCAAATTGGGAGTCTATCAAATGTGTATTCTGCTTTCCCACATCCTCACCTGGCTTTCTGATTTCATTTACTAGTCTATTGGCCAAATGGCAATTTCATTCCCTCAGTAACTTTTCCCACCATACTTTTCTTACTTGCCGATGGACAACCTGTGGGCACTGCTGCCAAGAGACTGTCAGTATAAATTATGTGAACTATAGACAGATTCCAGTTAGTTATGCCCACTGGCATAAGTCAAACAGCATGAATCAATGTTGTGAATTGCCATGATTTAAGAATTCAGCAGTGGTGTTTCTCATCATGTGCCACATCAGGCTACTGAAGTGTAATTAGAAGCACAAGCCTTGACTTTTTAATTAGGAGCAATTTTCCATAGTGATGATTGCCATTTGACTTATGGTTTAAGAAGTGGTAAATGATCATTGGGAGCAAGTGCTCTTTCCTTTGATCTTCTGAACATGTGCTAGTTTTAATGTGAAGATTTTGGACCTGTAAAGCCCAAGTTTATTACTACACTCATCCTGGGCATTTCAGCTTAATAGTTAATGAACCAAGAAAATAAGTGAGAATCACCTCCTTGTTAATTTT